GGCTTTTCAATGTGCCCACGTGTTTGAGCAGGAAGATTGAACAGGAATTTAGTGTCTGACATAAGAGGCTAATTCTGATGCATACTTTGGTGGCCAAATAATATCCCAACCTACTCGAAACAGCCTGAAGAAAACGGCAGAAAAAAGAAACTCAGAAATAATTTCACTGAAAAAATTTATGTTCTTTTGTTTGCAGTCAGTGGTAAATTCACCACAGAAGCTATATAACAGTAAACTAAGCTATACACCTAGAAACTAATTATGAAAATGAAGAAAAGTAGTAAAAAAAAATCAGCCCTTCGAACACAGGCTAAATCAAATGTCTTTCTATTCACTCTATATGCTCATTACATAAAGTACATTTTTTATTTGAGAGCCATTTGAGATTCGTCAACAGAAAAAGCATGTCTCTGATAGTGCCAGTTGGAAATGTAATGTACCATGTAATATTTGTTTTATTTTCCAAGAAATAATAGATAGATAGATAGATAGATAGATAGATAGATAGATAGATAGATATTTCTTGTTTTTTATCTTGTTTTTCAAGGAATTCCATTATTAACATGTACTTGCATAGATTAAGCAACAAGTGTTTAAAAAAAGTTTATGAAAAGTTTAGGAAACACATGTTGTGATTTGGTGAACACATGTTAAACATATAAATGTGGATTTGTCCTATTTAGAAAAATTCCCATAGGATACAAATACTGAAATTATTTCACGGAGTCTTAGTCTGTAGGAAATGGTTTGTTGATTTATTAAAGACCCTATACATCCTCTATAACTTCACTAACACAAGTTTATAAGTATTGAGCCATTCCCAAATGGATGTGACAGTCTCCTTATCTCATCATTAGTCAAAAAGTGACAGACAGCATGTAAGTATCTTAACCTGAAATAAGAGCCCATGGCAAAAGAAATTTATAAAAGCTTGTAAATTCACAATTTACAACCTTTTATGTTAATAAATAGCAAAACCTCCCAGTATTGCTAAAGCATATTGCATTTCTCAAAGATATGAAACATGATTTTTTTTTTTTTCCAGACATTAGCAAATGCCAAATCAGTTGTCCTTATTAATCCAATTGTACCATTAGCCCTAGACCACTATAAGGCTATAACTTCAACTCTGTAATTGTCATCAATCTCTGATCCAAGCCTAGACTCCATGCAGAGCAACAGGGAAATTAAGCATACTTGCTGTTTTCTCATTCTTTCTGTGGCAGCAAACAGCCAGAATCCTCACTCTAATTGAGGTTAAATGAAGTTCAAAACCAGGCTGTTCAAAATCCATATCTATCATAATTTGGATGCGCTTTCCAACACTCAGAAAAGGCATGTGGGAGATCAGGAACTCTCTAACAAGGACCATGGATTTGTTTACAAAGAGTGTTAATATGTGTATCCAAAGCCCCTGTTAATGTGTCATTCATGACTCTAATTGCTCATAATTCATTTGAGTGCTTTTAATAAAGCGATCAATCCAGCAGACAGCTGGCTCGCCTCTTATTTCTGTCTCTGTTTATGAATGAGAAAGAGCCCTTGCTAGGTGTTTTAGTAATTAGGCTGACATAGTTCCTTTTTTCCAAATACAATTTCTGGTATCAGCAGTGAAACCTATGTATATATATTCTTTATTAGCTGCTGCATTTTTTTTTTTGCAGAAAGTTTTTGTTTAAAGAGAGTTAACAGAGACCATTCGGATCAGATCTGCATAAAATCCTCCATCGGGAAGTGATAATAAATGTAAAAAACTTTGAATATTTCAACACGGCTAACCTTGACCTTATTCATTGTGTTCAGCTATTCTTCTTCTGCCTTTGGCAATAGTTTTACTCTTAGTGTAGAGTACTAGCTATGCTGATGGAGAAGATTAGAGCAGTAGATGTGTACACCCAGATGAAGGAGAGGACTAGTGATAGTGAGAGGAGTATAGATTAGGTGGAGGAAGTTCTGTGAGCCTTAGGCAGAGACAGTGAGCCTCCAACTCAGGCATTAGAGCCCTCACAGTGAGGTGAATGAGTGATGACTCAGTGACATTGTAACAAAGATTAACACTAAGACTTGCCCACAAGAGTAACACTCCTCTTCAATTCACATGTCTCAACAGGTTCAACCCTCTCAGTGAGGTAAGTACTGTTTATAGGACGCTCTATTCTATAAACCAGCTATGTCTTTAGGGGCACCAGCAGCTATTGTATGCCGGGAGTCAGAGCACCGGACATTGTAGGTAATCTTAAGGTAATAGGCAAGCGCAGGTTTTCTAAGATATTTATGCATGTAGTAGGTGCTATGACTCATGCCTTCATGAGTCAGAAACAAGAGTAACACTGAAGTGGTGTGTAAATGGTAAGTAGCGCTCAGAAAACTATGTGGATGTCACCCAGAAGAGGATGGGTACCTTTTTTAACTCTGGTTCCTCTCAAAGTTTCTTCCTCATGTAGTTTCAGGAAGAGTTTCCTTGCCATTGTTGCCTCTGGCTTTCTCATTAGAGATCTAGACCCACATCTGGATTTATGTGAAGCTGCTTTGTGATGATGTCTATTGTTAAAAGCACTATATAAATAAAATTGAATTGAATTGATTTCATTTGTGCTCATCTTTTGTGACAAAGGCTGAACATCCAAGGCATAACAAAATTTATCACGTGACTGAGAGAGCACACTGCAAAACATTACATCTTATCAAGTGAAAATATCTTGAATATAGTCCATTTTATCTAGTGTTTCCTATTATAAGATTACAATAAACCAAATAATAGATTAGTAATTAATTTAAAGCTTGAAATATTTTGTTGTGCAGATAATTTTGCTCATTTTAAGCATTTATTTCTAGAAAGAAGCAAAATTAACTGCCAAAAATAAGAAAAAAGAAGAAAATAAGAATATTTAAAACTTAAAACGGGTTTAATTTAATGTACTTATAGGACATACTAGACAAATTTGGATATATTCAAAATATTTTCACTTTTTAATATTTTTGCAGTGCACCTTCCCTTCCACCAAGGAAAGTGGCAGCTGCAAGAATTTAATCAATCGAACGCTAAAGCAACATGGGTTAAACAACCCACTCCACATGCTGGCCTTCTCCTTTACCGCACACAAAAGCTCATGTGATGTCGCTACATGATACTATGTAGTGTGTGGATTCTGTATATAGCTAGGTATTGATCCTGCATAGATGTTTCATCAGCCTGAACCTTGAAAAGTGGCCAAGTCTAACTGAACAGCATGGCTGCTTTCCAATACTGCTTTTAGGGCACCTTTGCCAACTTCCCAAAGCCATTTCCCTTAAAGGGAATCTCCATTGCTATCTTAAGGGCTGTTTCAGCTCAAGTCAATTTTATAAGTTTGGAGGCCCAGTGGATAGAGTCAACAATAGAAATAGTAGTTGATGGAATACAGTATATTATGTTTATGTCATATTTGAGATACAATTCATATCATGCCCACTAACATGCTCACTAACTATTAGTGGTGTAATGGTACACTCCGGTCATGATTTGATTTGATTCATTTCAGGATACTGGCTTCATGATTTGATTCAAATTGATTATCAGAATATTTTGAACAAAATTTGAAAGAAGAAAAATTATGCCTGAAAAGACCTATTTAAATTTCTGAATCATAAACAAAGCAAAACAAAGTGCATTTCTGTCTATTTATAAAACTAAATAAATTAAAAATTGCTATGAACTGAGGTTCTATATTGTAAACTAAATGTACTACAGGTTCACCATATCTTAAAATAAATTCTAGTAAAAATTTTTAATTGAATAAAAAACACGCAAAATCGACAAATATGTCTTCTGCAGCAGTATGTACTTCTGCAGCCTCTTTCTCAGGCACTGTAGCTCACAGAGGCATGTTGCTGAGCTTGATGGAAAGCTACTGAAGAGCTCTTTTTTTAACTGTTATAACATGGTGGTATAGCCATATAACTTATAATGTGTATCAGATGATGCAATCTGGAGCTATCGGGCTATTGGTCACTTTACAAGTGTAGATGATTTCCGGTAATCACAACAGAATTCTGGCTCTTCACTCTGCTCTCTATACTGTATATTTGAACTATATGGGTTGCACTAATTGCATGCCTCTGGTGTTTAAACAGTGCAATTGCATTAGATGCATAATTAATAGAATGCTGATATTGCACAGTTCCACGATGCACATCGTCACATTTTTGCATCACAGTGCATATGTTGTCATGATGACGCAATATCATGATGTATTGTTACACCCCTATTAACTATGCGCACAATTTATCTGACTGCATGCAAATGATTTTCCATTATCTGAGAATTCATTGCTTTAGTTTATTCATGCACTAGTTTTATTATTATCCTACTGACAGTCTTATGTCACACATAAAACCATTCTACCAATAGCTGACCACCTCCAGTCCCTAAGAAAAGGCAACCAAAAGACTTTCCTACAGTATATAATGAAGTATATATAATGAAGACCCTACAGAGGCCAATACTAGCAAAGCTTCAACCACTGGCCAGACTGTGGACCCCCTGCAGCTTGCATACCAAGATTCAAGGAAACAATGCTTAACAGCGTGTACTCTCATGGTCCTGTATACCTCTTATTTAAGATACAATTCTCTGATGACTCAATCATATTGGCATGTATTAGAAGCACTCACCTCTACAAGCAAATGTAGAGGTGGTGAGGATAACGCACAGGAATGGCATGAGCAATACTTTACATAATGTCCCCCTATTTTGAAAATGCAAAAATAAAACACGAAAGCATTTTGACACAAATTATTTCCCCCTTTTTTTAATTACAAAATCAAATCAAATCAAATACAAATTTTGATATAGTATGTTGTTCTTTCTGCTGCTCCTGTTAGGGGTCACAACAGCGGATCATTGGTCCACATTTTTGATTTGGCACAGGTCTTACACCGGATGCCCTTCCTGATGCAACCCTCCCATTTTTCCCAGGCTTGGGATTGGCACGGAGAGTACACTCCAGTGGCTGGGTTGGTTCCCTGCCCGGGAATCGGACCCAGGCTGCAGCAGTGAGAGTTCAGGATCCTTAGCCGCTAGACCACCAGGGACAAATTGTGTTATAATATGTTAATACTTTAAATATTATTTAATATAAATGTTAAGTGGATCCTTGATTTACTGCAAAACAAAGGCAATGATTTCATAAATATCAAGAAAATCGTATTGGATCTTGGATCTTCACTCATGTACGAATCTGTCCATTCTATAGTCTCATCGAGAGGTACAATATGCATAATTCTTTTTAATTTTACATTTTACACGCATGATATTTGATATCTGGAGAAACAGGGCATTTCTGACAATAAAATAAATAAATAAAATAGAATAAAACAAAATGTTTCTTTTTGGTTACTGAGCTTAAGGCTACAGATAGGTCTAGGCATAGCAATAATTAACTGTATTAATACTTATGTCAATGGAAAGTCCGCACACATATAGTAAGACAAGCGTGACAAAAACGTGTGTATTGCCACCTCACACCTCCATGGTCCTGGGTTCGATCCTGAGCTTGGTTTACTGTTTGTGTGTAGTTTTGTCCACTTTGACCACAAAGTTTGATGCCACAATGCCAAATCTAGTTCTATTGATGCTTGGTGAAATTAGTAGGCACTGCATTTTATGAGATGCTCTCAGAAAGGACTTTTTTCTTGCAACACTTCCTGCTTTACATAAGACCAGCTAAAGGATGATTTAAGATGTTACAGGACACCAAAAAAATCAACAGCGCTAAACCTCTTCCTGCTGTTTTTCTAATGATTTGCACTTAATTTAAAATACATTACTTAGACTCCAACATACGCATCTTAATATTAGCCTGTTCAATTGCATAAGCGAACCAACACTGTTCCTTTTTACTACATACTATACTGAATGAAGTTGCATGCTTTTATCCTTCTATTAGTAATGCATAATACTTTATTTCATCAGACCAGTATTTATTTATCCATTTATGTATTTGTTGATTTATTCATCTGCTGTGTGTGCTATGTGAAATGGAATGAAATATGGACTGGGATTTGGATTGTAAATTTGAAAAGGAATTGGATATGAGATCAGTATGAACTCTATGGCACTAATCTCACTTCTCTTCCTTTGAAAACCATTTGGTCAACATAGCAACAAACATAATATTTCATAGCAATGAAATACTATATGTGGGTAAAAATAAACAAACTAAATTTATGCAAAACACAGAATAAAATTGCATTTCCATCTTGCTGGGTTTGGTTAAGGCAGGAAAATCATACTTATTTGTATTTGTATGAACTCTATCCTAGTTGTCATGGCTGTGTAACAGCATGAATGCTGTTTTAGTGATGTTAAATGCCATTCGTGTGAAGTGCAATATTGAAAGACTCCGATTCTGTTGATAGGTTTTTCTCCTGAGAGAAAATCCCAGTAATCTCACGTATGTTTCAACAAAGTTGAGCTCAACAAAGTCGCAAGTTGTGCTCCAATTTGCCAAGTTAATGAAGTTCATTCAAAAGACTACAAAGTTTATTTAACCATGTTTTCTACAAGCATACCAGAAAGTGCATTGCTTATGTTCTCTCTGGGGACTGTGGGTGCATCCTCTGGGGATGCCTCTGTGGCATATATTAAATAACAACTGACAAAATGCCACACAAGATAATTGTTACCTCTGCTTGGACCTCATAAAAAAGGTTATGCTGTCTGACATGTCACATTAGAAGCATGTCAAACTTGAGCATTTGCACTGTCCTTCCCTTGTTTTTATGTTTCCTGTCTTTTTTTTTTCTTTTTTTTTTAACTTGCATGCGTGAGTGAAGTGTAAACTTCATAGCAATCCACTGAAAATACCAAAGGACACTTTCTATATGCTGTGCACATTATTTAAATTCATAATATATCGTAATATACAAATACAGTATGTCATGATTGTGTGACCTGCAGTTGCATCCAAAAATGTTGGTACACTATGTTACTCATTTTACACCAACATGCAGAAATAAACACAAATACACACTGGTTATTCACTGTCCCGCTGTCTCATGTCATGCTTTTAAATGAAAGATTTTGTAAATCCAACTTAGAGATCACTAAGGACAAAATAGGCTTAATAATGAATGCTCAAGAACAAACAAGAAGTCAAGTAATGAGCAGAATCTTGTGCAGTAATATTTTCACAGCGAATGCAGTCTTCACAGGTGAAACCCAGGGCTCAACCCAAGAGTAGACATTCCGAGCTATTAATTGTTTAAACAATCACTCTAACAGGGCACACCTGAGCAACAAGAGACACCTGTCAGTCACATGTTCCAATATTTTTGATCACTTGAAAAATGGGTGGGTTCAAACTAAAGGTGCCATGTTCTAAGTTGTTTAACACATCTAGATGTAAATATCAGGAAATGAAAGGTGAAATTCTGATCTATAATTTCAGAATTGGCCTTGCCATTACTTCCAATTCCAATACTAATTTAGTCTAGTTTCCATAATATCTGAAAGTCTGAGACCACATTGAAAATCTGTTTTTGTTTTATTTAAAACTGGAAATAAACAGAAAGTTTTAGAATTTCGAAAATGTGCAACCTCCTGACTATTCAATATTCAAGTTGTTGCACAATTTCTAGGTCATTATTTAAATTTAAGCAAATTTGTGCTATTGACAATGTTAACTCCTTTGTACAAAAGGTCAGATTTTCCATGAATCTTATCCTTTCCAAGCACATGTTGAGGTGACACACCAATGGATTTGATCTAAAATGGATCATCAGGCTTTACACAAACCTGTGGAGTCTGTGTCAGCTCGAGTGCACAATGTCATCAAAGCAAAAAGAGGACATACCAAATACTAAGAAATTCTGAAATTCATGTAAATATTTCTTAGGTTCTACTTTTCACTCAAGTTGCTGCTGATCATATCATTTGTAATGAAAACCTTTGTGTTAAGTTGAAAAAGAATGCTAGACAGAAGCATTTTCACTAGTGGTGGTCTCTCTCTCTCTCTCTCTTTATATATATATATATATATATATATATATATATATATATATATATATATATATATATATATATATATATATTATAAAGCACTTACTGAAGATCAATGACCAAATTATGAAGACTAATTAACATCCTGTGAGCTGATACTGTATGTAGGCTCTTAGTTTGTTTTCATCCTCTTCTTCATTTGTATGTTTACAGATGTTCACATGTTTAAGTCCAATACTGTGGTGGCCCAAGAATGTTTTTGTGTTTGTGGTGTGCTTTTGCCACATGAAAGCTCTTTTTGCCCTCTGCAATTCTAAGCAATGCAATAATGCACTAACACACACGAGCACTAAGTTGTTCCACTTTCCTTTGAAAAGGGTAGAATTAGGGAAATGTTTAAAATATTTAAGGATGTGTAAGGTACTTTAATGTTTGGTGATTAATCTGTAAGACACTCTTGGCATCCATATTCCTTTTTTTTATCAGTAATAACTTTCCTCTTCTCTTGGAGACAAATAAACATTGTACATTTAGATGCTTATGAAATTGTGTATTTAATTAGTGCCAGTTTACTTAAACTCTGCTGACAAGGCACTGGAAGTTCAATATGGCTCACAGATTGCTGCCTGATTCACATGCTAGTTTAATTTGGTCTAGTTTATATGCTAGCCAGTATCCAAATAATTTCATTTTGCATCCTCTTAGGAACAGAAAAGCAAACATAATTTTGAAAAATAGAAAGAAATTTCTCCCTATAGTCTCCAGAGGAAGTACTAGTTTGTTTAGCATTACTGAATGCATTTTCATGTACTGAATAGTTGTACTGCTGAAGGAAGGACTAAGCATGTGATTGATTTAATGAGTCATATTTCAAACAAATGCTTCTAAAGCCCTTGAAACATAATGGCATACCAAGAACAAAGCTATTGATTGAAAAGACCTTTAAAAACTTAAAAAAAAAAAAAAAAAAAAAAACTTAAATTCCATTCTGTGATGAAAATCTCTCACTAAAAAAGACTGCAGTAAAAGCGAAAGACATTTTAGTGCTGTATTGGTGAAGGACAACGCATTATGTATGTGAGAAGCTTACGATTACAAGTGAAATGTGTGTGATTTTTTCAAATCAGGTAGAAAGCTGAACAGTTTTCCAACCTCACCTACAGATAGGTATGTGCACTCTATTTATAGCTATTTTTATTTTATTTTTATACCCAAATAGATCAGATTATGCTGAATTCAGATTTCATTAAAGATTTGTTTGTAAATATGAGTCAGCCAAGTTTCCATCCCGAATAAACAAAATACTGAAACAAATGAATTAAACCAAACTGAATTAAATATCAACTGGCATAATTTATTTTTGATATGATATTATATATTAATGATATCCAGTCATCTTTGAACCGACTGCATCCAGGTCAGAACTTCACTGTGCACCTTATATACAAATGATCTTATTACTCAATTAAAGGAATAATGAGCTGATAAGGATCCATGTCTGTACATGTCTGATTCACATTTACAAACTGCACGTTGACACTAAACCCCATTACCTGTATATTAGAACAAGGTTCGCACGTTCACAATTGTGATGAATAAAAAGTTAAAAATTGTCAGTATACTACCCTACTTATTATATTAATTACTGACATCAATTTATTCAACAGCAAATCAGGCATTTTTCAGTTTGTTAAAATACTACACTCAAATTTACACAGACTCTGACTCGATGTGAGTTTGATTGTACAGATATGTCAAGCGCACACTTGTTTTACACTTGTTTCACGCTTGTTTTATTTGACGGTACATAAATTTGACAAATAAGAACCATGAAAAGTGATTAACAAATCAAAACTATTTTATACTGTATTTTAAGTTCTTAACAGTATTACTGATAAAGAACTATTTTATATTTTAAATTCTTAACAGTATTACTGATAAAGCATTATTTTATATTTTAAATTCTTAGCATTATTACTGATAAAGGACTATTTTATATTTTAAATGCTAAGCAGTATTACTGATAAAGCATTATTTTATATTATAAATTCTTAACAGTAATCCTGATGAAGGCTTGCACACTCTTGGCATC